GTTCAACTTCCTTAATAGCTACTGTGACATTCTGCTGGGAGCTTAAAACACAACTACGGGAGTGATTTAAGGAGGGTCACAAATATGTAGTTTAGTACAAATCTTTATTATTTTGTTTGCTCTCTCTTCACTGTGAGAGATAAAATGCAAGCTCTCTCAGAATCTCTCACATCCATTCCTTCTTTTCTTTTTCCACTGCTACCATACCTAAAATACGTGGTTAACAAGCCCTAAATTATCATTACAACTGCCATCTAATCATTTCCCTGTGACTCACCTTTGCTTTGTATAATTCATCTTCCACATCATCTCCCTACTAGGCTCCATTTATCACTGTTACCCCATGCTTCAACTGTGCCAGGCAATGGGAATATAAAAATCTTGGAGTAGTTCCCACTATGGTAGGGAATACAGTATGATGTGCTATAGTAGAGATGCATACACAGTACAATTATGGCATAAGGGAGTGAGTAGCTAGTGATCCACTGGATATACAGATCTGGAGATAGCAAAAAAGGTCTCACTGGTGACCCTCAAATATGAAGAAAAAGTCATGTAATCCATGGTGATTTCCAGAGAGAATATTCGGTCAGACATAGAACCAAATCTAAAATCTGGAGATAAAATTTACGGGGTAAATATAAGAAGAGGAGTCACTTTAGTATATGAAAAGTACATTTGAGGATATGAAAGAAAAGGAAAGAGAGGAGCCAGAAGTCCAGGGAGTTGTGAAATCCAAGGAGGAGAGGATGTGCAATTGCATCAAATGCTACAGCTGAAGACTGAGGAGCTACTACTGGATTTTTCAGACGGAAGATGAGTTGCAGAGAAATGATGGAGCAACAGACAAGAATTAAATCACAGAATATATACTAGGTGAAGAGGAGCTTGGCTCACAGGGGAGGATGTAGGAGGAAAAAGGAGAAGAAAAGGAGTACCTATAAATATTTGCAGTTGTGAGGCTGCAAAGTTCCTGTCAATTGTCCATTTTCTCTATGAAGAGGAATGCAAGGATGTTTGCTAAGAGATAGGGGTAAGGGTTGGGCAGCATTTGGGGAGAAGAGTGAAATTCTTGAATAGCCTCCTTGGACTATGGGAAAAGGTCCAGGAAGGCCAAAAAATACTGTAGATCAGTGCTGGAGGTTCAATTAAAGATAGTGAAATGGGTTCTGGCTTATATGTTTCTTAAGCTTCTCGATGGCATGGATGAAATACCTGAAGATATTATCAATATTGCCTTGTTTACATGTTAATTCAAACCCAATTAGTAACTTAATATTCAGAATACCTTGTTTGTTTGTTTTTTTTTTTAAGATTTTTATTTATTTATTGAGAGAGACAGTGATAGAGAGCATGAGAGGGGGAGAGTCAGAGGGAGAAGCAGACTCCCCGCCGAGCAGGGAGCCCGATGCGGGACTCGATCCCGGGACTCCAGGATCATGACCTGAGCCGAAGGCAGTCCCTTAAACAACTAAGCCACCCAGGTGCCCCAGAATACCTTGTTATCAGGAAAAAAATTCCTCGACTGTCAGAAAAGGGGATTCTGGTCCTGGAAATGGCACTTATTCCATTGTGAATGAACAATTTGCATCTTGGGAAGGGTTATAATATAGAGTAATCAGCAGAATATAGCAGAATGAGCATTGAAGTCTGACATATGTGGAAATAAATCTTACCATCCGTCTGTCTGTCAGTAAATTACTCACCACTCCCCACCTGTATGACCTTAGGTAAATTACTCATCTTCTCTGGAGCTCAGCTTCTTATTTTAAGATTGTTGAGGGTAAATGAAATAACATATATACAGATTAGTGCTCAGTAAATACTACTGTCTTCTCCATTCCCCACTCGCATTCATTCCATGAGATGGGCCATCATTTGCCAGCTCTAAGAGATTGACACGAAGTGGGTACTTGGACAAAATCAAATATTTGGACTTCAGAGGAGAAAACCAGATCCTGGGCTGGGGTGAACCACCCAGGTACAGCCAACTTGCAAGTCTCTATCAAGTCAGCCTCCTTTAAATCTTTATTTCTATTCTGTTTCTATTTCTATTCTTATTTTATTTATTTTTTCATCTTCAAGCCATTCTTAAAGACTTTAGTCTATTATTTTATTCCCTTTATTATAGATAAAAAGCTTACTCCAGCACTTTCTCATAAGGAATCTCAAACTGAGATCACTGTTTCATTTTGTGTCTTGTCTTTCCTGTTAAACTGTAAATTGACAGGGGAGTATAAGGGTGTGAAAGAGGGAGTGTCTCCTCCAAATCTGGGACAGTGCTCCTTGCTAGATGATCAAGGTCATAATCATGCTGCTATATTCTTTTATTCCATGGTGCAATTATCAAAAGAAATGGAAAGTGCCTGTGGAAAAAATTTTGAATGATGAGAGAATTTTAAAATTAGCTTTAAATACCAAGGAAGAGAAATAAAGAACAAGTGAGGACCTAGAAAAACCAAAAGACCAAAAAGATGTCTTGAGCGCTTCAGGCTATGTGTTATTCATCTTCAGCCTAGTGCCTGGTGTGAGTACATGGGAGAAGGAAAGGGAATAGCACATTCTAAATATGTGCTCTGTGTCAGATCTGCACAATACATCTTAACATATATTCTTTCATTTACTCCTCCCAATGAGCCATTAGATAGGCAATAATATTGCCTTTTTCACATGAATTTGAAGTTGAGAAATCAAATATTCTTCTTGTATTTTAGATATTCAGTTGTAGAGCTTGTATTTGAACCCAGGCCTGCAAACTTTGAAGTTCATAAGGTTTCTATGGTATTATTTTGCCTATTCCAAATGTATACTGAGCTGAAAACTTAGAAACAGATCTCTATTCATATAATCAACCATTGCTCAGCAATGGTGGTGATATTCCATGAGACAGTGCATGTAATTAAAATCTAGTTTATATTTTAAATGGAGGCAGAAGATGTAGATGTAGGTGAATCCTAAAATCATCACCTGTATTTGTTCCTGTTTTTGTTTTGTCTTTACCACTGAACAAAGAAACATGTTTAGCAGAGAAGAGCTGTCTTGCTTTCTGAGATGGAGATGACAATATGAAGGTGCATTCAGCAGAAATCTGGGTTGGGTTTTTTCCTCTAAATACATGGGGATTGAGGAAAGTTCAATATAGATGGAAAAGGGGAGAGATTAAAAAGATAGGGAGATATTAACAAGAGAAAATGTGTCCTGTGCCTACATTCATGGCAAAGAACTACTAAGAAATACCTCTTATTGAAAAATATGGTTATTTCTGGCTTTAAAAGTGATGAAAATGAGTATAATTGTTCTACACACCCTTCATATGTAATCAAGATTAAAACACCCCTTCTTGTTGGTCTTCAGATTACTTTAATTGTATTTCTTCCATTGGGATGCCTGTCCTATTAAAGTATGTGCAAGACACTATGGCAGCACCATGGAAGGAGCAATTGATTATGGGAAGACAGAGGGAGATGTAGGCAAGATTTCACTGTAAAGATGAAATGAGATGAATCCTGAAGGGTAAGAAAAAATTATCCAGAAGGTCACAGGCAAAAACAAAGATCTCATACTATTAGATTTTAAGCTGAAGCACCTAATTTCTTTTCCTTCCTTCCTTCCTTCCTTCCTTCCTTCCTTCCTTCCTTTCCTTCCTTCCTTCCTTCCTTCCTTCCTTCCTTCCTTCCTTCCTTCCTTCCCTCCCTCCCTCCTTCCTTCCTCCCTCCCTCCCTCCCTCCCTCCCTTCCTCTTCATCTCTTTCTCTCTCTCTCTCTCTGCATCGATCTGTCATCTATCATTTGCTTAAGCTCTAAGATATCCACCATAGTCAGCTAGAGAAAGCAGTGGTGTAGTGGTTAAATGACATGGCTCTAGATCAAGCCTCACTGGGTATGTACTTCAGCTCTGACACATATAATTACTAACTTCTCTGTTTCACTCACTTGAAAAATGTGAGGAATGAATGTGTTAACATATATAAATCATTTAGAATAATACCTAACATATTCCAAGGTTAGCTATCATTTTGTTTATTTACTTTGAAATATTCTGCCTCATAGTCAGAATAAGTCTTGAATAACTTCAGAATCAATGATAGAACTACACTAATTAAAGAATATGATCTAGTTTGGTAGGTGCTCAGATTCATATATATAGGACTTTCCACCCCTTTGATCTTAGGTAAATGCATAATTTCTTGCCTTAATGTGTTGATTATTGCATAGTGAAAGTAATAGATTAATTGAAAAGGGATTCATGGCTTAATTAAATCTACCATCACGTTTGCTTGATCTATACAAACTAAGCCATTTAATATAAAGCTAATAGTAAATATGTAAAGTGTACAGTCAGTCCTGGCATCTGCCTTCCAAATTTTATTTTGAATGTCAGAATCTCAGAGGAGTGTCTGTCTTATATGAAATTAATGCACAATAGAATAAAATTCTCCCTCTGGCCTATTCATTGTGTTTCACAAAGTGAATTTTAGAGTACTTTCAAGTTAATCTCATCTAAATTATTTCTTGTAGTATGCTGGGTCAGTCCAGCATCCATTCATCCATTCACGCATCTATCCAAACATCCACGCATGCATGTGTGCATGCTGCAGATATTTAGGCATCTTTCACATGCAATGTAAATTTGTGAGATACTGGAAAAGAAATATTAAACAAGATAGACATAGCATTGTGAATGGTGTTCATAGGATGTCAGAGAAGACTGACAATGAGAGAAACAACTACAACAAAGATGATTTGATCTCTAGGAAACATAATTTCCCCAGGTGACCCTCTTTTTCGTCTAACTAATAATAACCATTTCCTTTTTAATCACACTTCTCTTTTAAATAATATTGCATCAAGCACAGAATTACTTGAGTGCTCTTTATGGAACACTTATCAGGGCCACACACAGGTAGTGCTCCCATCGAAGATGTTTCATTTGCAAGAGGGACTGTATGAAATAAAGAGGTAGCATTCTCATGGGGAAAAGAAGCAGAAAGGAAAGCTCACAGGAATGTGCCGCCGCAGGTTCGTTGGTGTGCTGGACGGAGAGGAGCTGGTGCTGAGGGCATTCTCAATGTCCTGATCAAGTTGGTCCAGTTTCATAATTAGCAGCACCATGGAGTCCAGCCGCGCCCTATCTCGATCTTCTCTTATTTCCTGAGGAACAGAACATGTTGTTACTGAATCTGAAAGGCCATTTCTTAGAAAGAATAAAAAGTTCCCTGTTCCTCAGTGTGACAAAAAGGACACTGAATAATAGGCAGCCTTCTACTCAACAGGGAAAGGAAGTTCTATTCTGTATCATCAATGGGCTCTTCATTGGGAAGATACTGACCTACTGCCAAGGAAGCATTTTACTTGAATTTTAAATATACATCTTTTGGAAAAAAGTGCAATGAAAAAGTAAAACATCAGCGAGGACTGATACATATTTACTACTTTTCAGTTCATTATTCTTGGGAAAAGTTATACATTACTTTTTTCATGGTACAAATCAACTATGACATACTAACTGTTTGTGGTTAGACATTTAAGGATCCATACAAGAGAATATTTTTGAAAGAATATTTCTGAGTATAGTAAAAAATTGGGAAAATAATCAAAGAAGGCAGGATTTCAGTTTGTGCAGTGGACAGGTTTTTTTTGTTTTTTTGATTTTTTGTTTTTTGCCTTGTACTCTTTATTTTTATTGTTATGTTAATCACCAACATTATATCATTAGTTTTTGATGTAGTGTTCCATTATTCATTGTTTGTGTATAACACCCAGTGCTCCATGCAGAACATGCCCTCTTTAATACCCATCACCAGGCTAACGCATCCTCCCACCCCCCTCCCCTCTAAAACCCTCAGTTTGTTTCTCAGAGTCCATCATCTCTCATGGTTCATCTCCCCCTCCGATTCCCCCCCTTCATTCTTCCCCTCCTGCTATCTTTTTTTTTTTTTTTACATATAATGTATTATTTGTTTCAGAGGTACAGCTCTGTGATTCAACAGTCTTGCACAATTCACAGCGCTCACCATAGCACATACCCTCCCCAATGTCTATCACCCAGCCACCCCTTGTTTGTTTTTGTTTTGTTTTGTTTTTGCATGGGGCCATTTACCTACTGCTACTTCAGGCTGTATCATTGTCAATATTTCTCTTCAAGCTTCTTTTTCTTTCAAACACTTGAAAAAAGCCCCCACAGTTGTATATATTTTTGTAAATGATCACGGTTACACGTTCTAAATTCTCTATAGTAGAGAGATATGTTTATGGAAATACTGTTGCTTACAGGAATACCTAAAGCTTCTCATTAACCTTATAGAGTTATTTGGCCATGACTACTTACTATTCTTGCATATTCAAATCAAGTCAATTAATATTAGGAATCTTCCAGATTCCCTGTGTGTTGTTTAAGGTATCAAGGTTGGGTAGAGTATTGGGTGGGGGAAAAAAGGCCATGGAAAGCACAGTAAGGTTCTTCAGAAGCAAAATCTGTTGAGAGATATAACAGACTTGGGGCTAGCCCTTTTGAGGAAAATCATTTGTCACTCATGTTGCCATCTTTTCATCTGTCTTTGATATTTATCTGGATGAAATCAGCTTTGAAAGGAACACTAGTAGAGACCTCAAAGGGAAAATATATCACAACAGAAGCTTGAGGGGTGTGGGTACAAGAGAGCTTGTGATGGTATTGGCAGTGGGATGGTAAGATGACTGCCTGAAACAGACCTATTGTTTTTGGCATTTTTCTTTTAATCCCCTAAATTCTCTAGCCATCATTAGGAGGGAACCTCAAAGAACAGGGACTTACTAGGGTAATTCCATGATTAAATAATTCTATAGGGGTCTCTGTATCCATAAGAGCTAGAGCAGATTGTTAATATTACAGAGCATTATTTTCCAGATGTCAAAGAATTGGTTTATTAAATTAAATTGTTCGAAGAATCATTAATTAAGTTTGGGTATTAATTAATACCCAAGTAAGTTATTTGGGTAAGCTGAACTTGTGTTTGGTTTAACAGACTAATGTCAAAATGAAAGAGTTAGTCCTACTTCCAAAAGGACATCAATTTTGAGAATAAACTAAGAATTTTTTTGTTGTTAATTACTTCAGAATACTGTGCTGTGATTATTACTTAAATTTCCTTTCATTGTCCCTGCTGTCTAAAACATGTAATGAGACTCTGACACAATTACAGACTCTTGTCATCATAAAGTTTTATGCTTTGTACTTAAGAGTGTCCAGGATATTTGCAAACAGACTTAAACCTTACTATATATCATGTCCCTCAGTGTTATAGAACTTTATTTTATTCAAAAGAGCCTTATTGGGGTACCTGGGTGGCTCAGTTGGTTGAGTGCCCGACTCTTGGTTTCGGCTCATGTCATGATTTCGGGGTCGTCAGATTGAGCCTTGCGGTGGGCTCTATGCTGGGTTTGGAGACTGCGTGAGATTCTCTCTCTCTCTCTCTCCCTCTGAGCCCCACCCCGACCCTGCTTGTGTGGGCACACACGGTCTCTCTAAAAAAAGCAAAAAACAAAAACAAAAAAACCCAAAAGAGCATTATTTATAGTAAAATCCTGCTTCTACATTAAAATGGAGTCCTGGAAATACTGGAGATTATTCAGTGTAATTCTCTTTTAAATACCCGGAAAATGGAAAATCTGACTAACAGACGACTCAAAGTCCTCTTAATTACTTCTCCAATGTATTTGCTCGTATAATTTCCTTCTTTTTTAAACCAAAGTTTGTGTTTGGCAAGACAATGTTCTTTGCATCTCTATATCCACATATGTTTTTTGTGTGATTTTCATTTCCCAATTATAACATCCTCAAGCACAAAAATTATGTTTTTCTACCTGGCAGATGAGTCAAGTTATACATTGCACATGCAATATGTTTTTAGGAATAACAATAATGAAATCAGTGGGAGCCAGTGAAATAACATCTCCCAAAGCCTTAGAAAGTATATCTTGATATTTTTCCAGCTACTAAGTTAATGCTGGATAAAGCAGGATGTCATGAGTTGTCCTAGCCCTACCAGCAGTGGTCTCAGAAACAATTTGTCTTTGAATTAACTGGATGCTGAGATTGTGCTTTAAAAACATTTTCAAATCCATGGGCTGAGCGTCAAATTATTTCAAATGCTCTGCCAAAAGGAATAAAACCAAACATCCCTGGTCTAAATCATTCCTTTAGAGAAATAAGCCTATTGCTTTCCCCTTCCTTCCTGGATACTTCCTTATTCACCACTCATCACACTCAGCCTAAGTGTCAAATACACAGACCAGTATCCTGTGTTATACATCCATAAAACTTCACAAAATAGAGCTGACTATAAATCAGATGTTTTGGATGAATTTTATTGTCTTTGTTTTTAAAGCCCAGATATTAATATCTTACTGTTCTAACCTTTCATATGCCTATGGCTAAATTCCAGCAAATAGCTCATGCCTGAAAACAGAGCTGTATATTTGCAGGTTTTGGCTAGGTTGACTTCTATAGTGAGCCTTTTACTTCATGCTTTCCCTGTCGTCCATGAAGAGGAACTTCTTAATAAATGAAGCCACCTATTAATGAAGTTTTCAGTATTTCAATAACTTAGCCCACTCAAATCAAGGCCAAGACATTAAATTCTCCCCCCTCCCATCTTTCCTTCCTTCTTTCCTGCAGTCATAGCTGTTATGGGTCAAGCACCATTAAAGGGACAAGATAGTCACCAGTGATAAGAGATTAAAAAAAAAAAAATCCCGGCTTTCCTGAATATTATAGTCAACCATGAGAAGACAGACAACAGAAGTTAACAAATTCATAAGTAGGATGGTTTCATATAGGAACAAGTATAAGAAGCAAATATATAGGGTAAGAAGCTACAAAATCACTGAAGAGGGGTTGTTTGTCCCACTTGGCATAGGGTGACTGGAAAAGAGTTTTCTGTGGAAGTGAGGGCTAAATCATGATCAGGAGAAAAAGAATGGGGTAGAAGAGAGATATGGAGGTGGAGATGGAGAGAGAGAGAAAGAAAGGGAAAAGAAGGAAGGAAGGCAGGAAGGCAGGCAGGCAGGAAGGAAGGAAGGAAACAAGGAGGAAGGGAAGGAAAGAGAGGAGAAAGGAAGGAGGAGAACTGGGAAAATAGTATTCCATGCAGAGTGTTGAGTGACACCAAGATACTGAGACAGGAATGAGTTGGATGAGTAAGAGGATCGGATAAAAGATTGGGAACGCCGGGAAGGAGAGTAACAGGGAAAGGAATGAGTGCTAGGCCAATGTGAGGGTGAGTATAAACAGGAGCCAAATTATATTGTTATGAAGGTCACTGTAAAGAGGCCAAATTTATTCTTTGTAGTGGGGCCACTGGCAGGATGTCAGCAAATAAGTGGTCCTCTACCCCAACTTTTAGGGTTCTTACCACATATTGACAACTAAACATTTTGGAAACATCACCCTACTTTACAGCCAGTGATGCCACATAACTAATACACACTAAATAGTTCAATTTATCTTGATTATTTTCTAGTCCTATAGTCTTTTTTTCCCCCTGAGGTCTGAATTGGACCCATTATGGTAATTATAAGGAAATAACAAATTTAAGAGCACACTTATCTTGATGAGCAATGAATAATATAAGGAATTTTGAATCACTATATGGTACACCTGAAACTAATATAACACTGTGTGTTAACTACAGTAGATTAAAAAAAAAACAACAACAATAAATACTTTCATAGCATGGCCATACATATTTTGAGATCAAAGTGAAAGAAGAAGGCACTCTTTGGGGAAGCTGTTTCTTGGAAGTAGGGAGTGGTATGTTGGTAAATGTTTAAAAACTAGATTCCACATAAAAAGAAAGTCCTGATTTGTAGCATGTGTCAATTTTTCTGTGACATAAATACTGCCATGGCCTATTTCCAGCTACCAACGAGACATTACTGAATGCAGAATTGGAAGAGATGCCCCAAGTTTTCTCTTGTGAGCTTATGTGAGCTGGTAACCAATAGTTGTAACTATGGTTTAGTCAATGTAATAACATATTGAAATAATGCATTTTATTTATTTAATGCATTTACTTTCCTTAACTTTTGCTTTTGTTGCCCAGGTAGAGTTCAGGCTAAATTTTAGACTTAAATTTAGTGTTTTTCTGGAGACTTCTTTTTTCTTAGTAGTC